GCCGCAGGGCTCTGCTGGAGCCCCCGTCCCGCTCCCCGGACGGCCGGGCTCAGGCGGGGCTGCCGGGAACTGCCAGGCTGCGGGGGGTGGGCAGCGCGGGGCTCGCTCTGGGCACGGTGCTGCGGGTGCCCTCCTGCACCCGGACTGGCCCGAGATCTTCCCTGCCTCTTCTCCACCCCTCCCCGTGCGCACAGCCCCCTGCTAGGAGGAGCAAGGAAGGGCCCTGGCTGGCTTTGCGTGGATGATATACTTGCCTGGGGCTTTCCTGCCCCTCGGGGCCGGTGCACCAGCCTTGGGAAGGGGCTGGTAGTGGTCTGGGCACGGGAGGCTCGGTTAACACCGCTCCCCCTGCCCAGGGCTGCAGCACTGTTGGCAGGGGCACGGGGCGATGTGAAACCAGCATCTCTTAGGAAATGTGGGGAATCGTGGGGCCACGTTACCAGAATCACTGCCACCCACTTCAAAGAGAGCACTGGTGGCATCAGGCAGCGCAGGCGGCTCTGCTGTGGTCTGTGGTTAGCACAGGCATGGGAAGAGCAGTGCAAGGAAGCCTTCACCTCGGGACGTGGGTTAGCGCACAGGTTAGCACACGCGTGCTTGCAGAAGCGAGGCGGTGCCGGAGCGCTGGGGAGCGGCATGAATTCGCAGGTCTTGTTTCTTCCAGTGCTGGGAGCCTGGTGATGCCATAAGATGCTTTGATAAGCAGTATGAACACAAGGGCAGGTGCTGCAACCGGTGTCAGCCAGGTATGGAGACCCCTTCCCGTTCCTGGGGCCCCAGGGCCTGGCTGTGCCAGGGCCCACTGCCCGGCCACAGCGAAGCAAGCCCAGCTTGGTGTGACCGAGTCCCCCTTCTCCCCCCCACTGCCAGCAGTGCTGACAGTTTCACCTCCCTGTGTCACGTCAGTGCTGGAGCAACCAGGGACCTCATGGGTGCCGTGGGAGACCCCCTGGACCTCACCGAATCTGCCAGAGCTCTCTTGGGACTGTCTGTGCTCCTGCAGCTGCAGGACCCCATGGCACTCCACGGGGAGAGTGCTGCCACTGGCACTAGTAGATCGTGATGGTATTTGCCAGCTCCTGCTGACACTGCCAGATTGTTTCCCTGTCCTTGGAGTGCTGGAGGCAGTGAACGCCTCCCCCCTCCCCTCCTGCCCCAGCACCCAGCAGCCCTCCCTACCTGGCCCGATGCAGCATGCACAACCACCAGGCAAGCTGGGCCCTGCAGCCCTGCGTGCTGGCACAGCACCAGGCTACTGAGCAGCATGCCTCAGCGGGCCTGGCATCCACAGCTGCTAGTGCTCCCCTGTTCTGCTGGCAGACCTGCTGTCTGGAGAGGGGGAAAGCCCCCTCGCCCCCTCCTCACCAGCCTCTATTGCAGGGGAAAAGCTGGTCTCTGAATGCAATGGCACAGAAGACTCCGTCTGCACCCGCTGTGAGAGCGGACACTATCAGCACAGCTGGACCAAGGAGAAGCATTGTGCCCCCCATGATATCTGTGAAGACAGTAAGTGCTCCCTGTGCCCACCGGCCCCAGCCTGCAGGAGCTACAGGGGCTGGTGTCTTCCCAGGCGCACCAGCCCAGTGTCTCACCTTGCCCATGCTCCCTTTGCCCAGACGCTGGCCTCATCGTGAAGACACAAGGAAATGCAACGCACAATACGGTGTGCCAGTGCCGGGATGGCATGCACTGCTCTGATACCAGCTGTCAGACCTGTGTGGAGAACCAGCCCTGCCAGCGTGGCTTCGGCTTTGTGGCTGGTGAGTCCGACCAGCTCATCCCTCTCAGCGGGACCGATGCCCTGGCAGCATTGATCTTGGGTCCTCCAGGGAAAGGGGGACTCCCCCAGCAAGGTGCCCGTAGCAGGACTCCAGGAGAGCTGTGTCTGCTGCTGCACCTGGCAACATTGCCATGGGGAGGGCCGCTAGCCTGATCCCCACAGCCCCTCACCTCCCACACCCCGTACTGACCTTCCCGCAACCTTCGCTCCTCTCCAGCCAAGGCTGTGGCCCGGATCTCATCCCCCTGCGAGCCCTGCGCAGAAGGCACCTTCTCCAATGTCTCTTCTAAAACTGAGCCATGCCATCCCTGGACAAGGTATTGTCTGAGTGCTGACCACATCCTTCACCCATCCCCAGCTGTGCCCAGTCCCTGTGAGCATGTCCTCTGCTGCCAGCCTCCTTAGGGGCCCTGAGTGGCTGGGATGGTCTCTGAGGGACACAGCATCAAGCTGGCATAGGGCAGGAGCGAGAGGAGCAGAGCTCTGAGGGCGGTGAGGTCCTGGATGGCGTGGCTGAGCTCAAGGCAGACATCCAGGCCCTTGTGACTGTCCCTCAGCATGTGCACACACTGCTCGCCCCTCCAGGGACATCCATGCTGTCATCTGCACTGGGGAGCAAGGGATAAGGGGCCACGGGGATCCCCCATGCCCTGTCCAGGCTCTCCCTCCCAGCATGCTCCTTGGCTGTAGTCGTCAGCCAAGGCACTAGCCCTCTCCGTGGGGAGTCTGGCTTTGAGGATGCTATGGGCTTGCCAGGTCGTCCCTGTCTTTAGAAAGCTGCTTTAGGGTTAATTGCACTCCCTGGTAGAAACGTGAGCCTTATTTCCAGGCTGAATTCATCTTGTTTCAGCTGCCAGCCATTGGATTTCACTTTGCTTTTATCTGTGCCCAGAAATTACCTCCCCACGGAGCCACTTGTAGTCTGTCATGTCTGTCATCAAGTCATCTCTGAGCTGTTCTGCAATAGCTGCAGTGCCTGAGCCCCAGGGTCTTCCTGACCAAGCCGGTCTCAAATATCTGCTCCTTCCTGTGCCTTGTCCCCAAACTTGTCCCCATCTTCAGCAGTTTCAGCAACTCCAGACCAGGACCCCGGGGTGGGGCCCTGCTATGTACCCGGTGTCCCTATCAGGCAGCACAGGCCCTGGCGTCAGCCGGGGGGACCCCGGCCACTTGCCCCTCCAGAGCCCAGCAGGCTCAGTGCAGGACGCTTTCTCACGCAGCTCTGGTGGCTGCCCAGCCCCAGCTATTCCTTCTCAAGGGCTTTCTGTGTGCTCAGGCTGCTGCTGTGGTTACACGGTCTTGTTCTTCCCTGCAGCTGTGAGGAAAAGGGGCTGGTGGTGAAAGCAAAAGGGACGAACACCTCAGATGTGATCTGTGGTAAGTGCCCAGTGCCCCGGCCTGGGCCAGTGCCAAGCAGAAATCTCCTGGTGCTCTGGCTCCCACAGCACTTGGAGGAGCTGGCCTGGCCCGTGGGTGTTTTTGGGAGAGGAGGGTCTGGCTGCACTGCTGGAGTGATGCCTTCCTGCTCCTCTCTGTCCCTGTGAGGGATCCCCACGAGACTGGGCCTGGAGCAGAGGCAGCTTGGGGCACTCGGCATCTCGGTGGGAGCGTCACACGGGTGCCTCACTGACCCCATCTCCCTCAGCAGAGTCGAGCAGGCGCTCCTCGCTGTCAGTACTGATCCCCATCACGGCTGCGGTCGTCACGTGCCTCGTGGGCATCTGCATCTACTGCCTGGTACACACAGGTGAGGGGCTGGGATGCGGGAAGTGATGCCTTGGCCAGAAGCGCCATATGGGGCTGAGGAGCCAAGCAGGGAGGATGGCGGCCGCTCTGCTGAGAGTGGGGCAGCCCTTCTGGGGACACTGCCAGGGCATGGCTCCCGAGCCCATTGCCCTGCCGGCTCAGTGGGCTCTGTCCTTGGGAGCAGGCATGTTTGCATTGCTGCAGCTGAAGCTGGGCCAGCTCTTGGAGGAAAGCACCAGTGCCCTGTGGGTCCAGCCCAGCTCCCCTGCCGTGGCTCTCTGCCTCTCCAGCCTGGCAGCAGCAGCAACATGAGCTGCAGGACCTGCAGGGTGGCAGCACCAGCCCCGGCTCTGACCCCTGAGAGCTCACTGCAGGGCGGGAGCATGCCCCTGACTGTTGCCTTCTCTGTCCCTCTTTCTATTCAGATCCCAGGCGACGGGTGCAGAAGCAGGTGAGTCTGCCCAGAGTCCTCCCCCAGCAATGGATTGGGGTCCCTCCTGGGCACAGCCGGGGATGTGCCAGCAGCAGAGTGCAACAGAGCAGGGGCTGTGGCTCTGCAGGGCAGGAGGGGTGGGGCCTGTCCTAGGGCTGCCTGGCTGGGACAGGACAAGGGCTGGGGCAACCCTGGGATGCTGCTGGCAAATATGCTGAGACAGGAGGGGTGCACGCAGGGTGAGGCCCTGCCCTGCACAGGAGCGTAGCAGGAGCCTGTGGAAAGATGTGGCTGCAGGGGGATGTAGCTGCCTGCCCATGACCCCTACCCCTGCCCCTGTGCAGATAGACGGCGAGAAGCCCAGAGAGATCTTGGAGGCCCAGCAGCCTGTGGAGGAGGGGGAGGACCTCCTCCCTGTGCAAGAGACCCTGCTTGGGGGCCAGCCTGTGGTCCAGGAGGATGGCAAGGAGAGCCGCATCTCGGAGCAGGAGAGGCTGTGAGGGTGCAGGGCACTGCCTCTGACAGGAGCACAGACTGAGGCCAGCACTGTCTCCTCTGTCCCCTCTCCAGCCAGGGAGGAAATCTAGCATCTGGCCTGGCTGCAAATGATGTGATGCTGCAGTGGACCATGGCATGACCACCCCATGGAGGTACCACAGCAGTGCCTGCTCTGACCGCCTGCCCAGGGCTGCCACAGCAGGGCAGCTCAGCTGCCTGCATGGGGATGCAAGAGCGTAGCCCAGTCCTGCTGCCTGCCTGGGGTGCTGCAGCAGAGTGCAGTGTGGCTGCTCACGTGCTCACCCCCTGGCAGAGGCTGG